CCCAGCCGATATAAACTGTTCTAAACAGAAGTGGAGGGAGGTGTGGGTCCCTCCAGGATGAATGATGAGGTGGGAGCTGCTACTTCAGCTCCACTTAGAATGGAAGTCAGGCTGGGTGGGGTGGCTCATGCCTGTAATCATAGCATTCTGGGAGGCCAAGGCAGGAGGATTCCTTGAGCTCAGGAGTGCAAGACCAGCCTGAGCAAGAGCAAGATCCTGTCTCTACTAAAAATAGAAAAACTAGCTGGGTGTTGTGGTGGGCACATGTAGTCCCAGCTACATGGGAGGCTGAGGCAAGATGATTGCTTGAGTTGAGGAGCTTGAGGCTGCTGTGAGCTAGGATTCCATGGGCACAGAGTGAGATTCTGTCTCAAAAAAGAAAAAAAAAATCAAAAAAATAGTGAGATATGGTGGCACATGCTTGTAGTCCTAGCTACTTGGTAGGCTGAGGCAAGAGGATGGATCACTTGAACCCAGGAGTTTGAGCCCAGAAGTTTGCACTCTAGCCCAGGGCAACAATGTGAGACTCTGTCTTAATTAAAAAAAAAAAAAAAAAGAATGGAAGTTACTATAACTCTGGGAGGATTCCAGAGGGGGGTCCAAAGGGAGACAGAGGGTTGAGAGCAGGTTGTAGAAAACTAGGTACATAACTCTCAAGGAAATGTGTGGTCTTTGTGGTTAGGGACTTAGAAATTGAATGTCTGGGTCTAGGTCCAGGAAATTTTTTGCGGTGATGGGGGAGGAGTTGGATGTCTGATTCTGAGAACTTGGGACTCTGCATGCCTAAGTCCTGAGGGCAGGACTCCAGGGACTGAAAAGAAGATGCTGGGGCTCTGTTTCTATTTGAAGGTCTGAGGGAAGAGGGGCTGTGGGCCTAGACCCCTGGGTCTGAAGGACGAAATGCTGGGGCTGGACCCCTGGGTCTGAGGGAGGAGGAAGGGCTGAGGCCTGGACTCCTGAGCTGATCAGGTGGAGACCTAGCCTCGGGAACATCCCTTTCCCCAGTGCCATGCTGCCCCCTGGTGGCTGGTGTGCTCTTCCTTCACAAACTGAAGGATAAGGCGGGCTTGGTAGTTTATTTTCATTTGGCAAACCCTTTCCAGCCCCTGGGGCTCCCTTTAGCAGCACATTTGGGTGCCCTGCAATGCAGAAAGAAAGTCACATAAGATTATATGACATCCAGGAGGAGTGGGCTAGAGCAGCTGGGCCTAGGGCAGGGAACCTGTGGAGCGGGGAGTAGACTCACCTAGCCTCCAGGCCTGGGGAGCCAGTGGGGAAGGGTAGCCCACAGGGCAGCTGGAAGAGGGTTTCCCTTTAGGAGGTCCTGCAATGAAGAGAGTGTTGGGGGCACTGTTGATTTCCTGGGACCCAGTGCTTCCCTCTGCACCCTTCCCTGCCACTTTCCCTAACACCAGAGTCCCAGATCACTCTATAGGTCCCCTTTCTCACCCTGTAGCCCCCTTTCTGGCTTGGGGACTGGAGGTGACATCCCACATGGCTGAGGCCTCAGTCCTAATTCTTGGCAAGGGAAGGGGTGCCCGAAGTCTGGGGAGGGCCGGAGGTTCCTGCAGGGGAAGAAATGAAGAAATGTCCCAGCTAAGTGGCAGCCTGGGGGCTGGGGGCATCATTTCACAGGTCCGGTCAGGGATAACACATGGTGGTGGTGGGGTACATGACAGCTCTTGTCCACAATCGATGCCTTTTTTCCATCTCCCCTCTGCCTTGAGTAGGAAGAAGTTTTAGTTTTTTTGTCCACTCCCTATCCACCCCACAGACATTTTCTAAGCATCCACATTATGTCAGGCACTGTTCTAGGTTCTGATGAGACAGCCACAAACACGATGGAAAACTATCTCCGTTATCCTGGTGGTGCTGCCTGTCTACTGAGCCAAAGGCTTACGGTGAGTAATCAGCTCATGAACAAAGTGATATCTCTGAGCTAGTGAGTTTCATGACCTTCAGAGTGCAGGGGTTGAGTGGGGGCTACTGGGGAGGCCTCTTGGGGAACAGAACAATTGGTTGAGCAGATGCCTGAGTGCAAGAAGGATCCTGGCAGAGATTCTGAGACAGGGTAGTCTTGCTAGCTTGTTGGAAGAGCTACATGGGTCTGCTGTTGGGGGAAAGGAGGTGGAGGGGTGGTGGGTGGTGGGAAGGGTTCAGTCCCTAGGTTTTGTGGGCTGTAGGCTTTGGCTTGATTTCTTAGGGCCCTGGGGAGCTAGTGGGGACTTTTGAGAGGTGAGGGTGGGGACTGCTAGGGGAGGGGAACCTTAGAGAAATATGTGGCCTTTCTGGTTCTTAAGTGCAACCTTTTGATTTAATCCAAATTGCACATAACAAATCCTTTTATTCAAAAGGGTGCAGCAGAGAATAACAAAGCTTTTCTTGACTCCTTTGATGCTTAAAAAGAATAATCTTGAAATCAGAAAGCTCCAGGTTCCCCACCCCTGGATCTCACTGGTTTCATCAAACCTGTGGGGCTCCAGGTTCCCCACCCCTGGATCTCACTGGTTTCATCAAAACCTGTGGGGCTCATGCCATGCTGGTCCTCATTTTCCATGTGGACATATGGAGATCAGAGAGGTCCTTTTTCTGCTCAGTGGTGGTGCCACCCCCTACAGGTGGGTTTCTCAGATGGAGAATTGCTTGCACAGGGGGCATTCCCAGGGACACAGCACCATGTGCAAATCACCACCTTGGTGACCTATCATTAACCTAGCCCCACGGGCATCCAGTGCTCACAACAGCCCCTGGAGGTGGGGATGAAGGAATGGAGACCCCCAGTGGAGGGGAGGATGGCCCTTGAGGCTACAGCCAGGGACCTGGTCTATCACCCGAGAGCTGGCTGACCTTCAGTTCTCTCTGCCTCAATGTTTCCCTCTGTATAATGGGATCATAACAGTATCTGCCTTATTAGGCTGTCATGAGAATTAAATGAATGTATTCAAAAGCAGTGCCGGGCACATAGCAAGAATTAGACACACATTAACTAATTCTGATTATGACAGTCACCTTGCTGGGAGGAAGAAAACTCAGGGCTCTCTCTTCTGCAGTATGTTTCAAAGAACAAAAGAGTAGGAGTTGCCTAGAATTTGAATCAGGCAGGGTTTGGGGGCAGAGGAAAGGATTTGCTAGGTGCGACCCTCTGACCCGATGTGCCCTGTCAGCTGTTGTGCAGGCTATGCCACCCTTGTGTCCTCAGGGAGCCGGCTGAGTGCCTCCTAATGTTTCCATTCGCTTTTGGCTGCAGGTCGGGATCTGTTTTTAGCTTCCCTGGCTGGTCTCACCGCCACCCCCACTTCCTGCTGGCTCTCTTGTTTGCTATGGTCGAATAATGTTCCCGGACTTCCTGAGAGCTGTTTGTTTGAAGACAGCTCAGTATTGATCGAAGCCAGTGTGTACCCAGCCTGAGATGCTAACAGAGAACTGCCCCTCCCCAGCAGTCTAAGGTACCAGAAAACTCTGGGGTGGGGCATGGCAGGGAGAATAAACCAAGGCCTGGCTTCACTTGAAAAAGAAGCAGATGCTAGAAGGCTGAGGCAGGTGGATTGTTTGAGCTCTGGAGTTTGAGACCAACCTGAGCAAGAGTTAGACCTCGTCTCTACTAAAAATAGAAAAAACTAGCTGGGCGTTGTGGTGGGTGCCTGTAGTCCCAGCTACTTGGGAGGCTGAAGCAAGAGGATTGCTCTAGATTAGTGTTTCTCAACCTTCCTTATGCCATGGCCCTTTAATACAGTTCCTGTGGGTCATGACCCACAGGTTGAGAACCACTCTAGACCAAGAATCTGAGGCTGCTGCGAGTATGGTATCAAGGCACTCTAGCCAGGGTGACAGAGTGAGACTCAGTCTCAAAACAAAAACAAGGCTTGGCGCCTGTGGCTCAAGTGGCTAAGGCGCCAGCCACATATACCTAAGGTGGTGGGTTCGAATCTAGCCTGGGCCTGCCAAACAACAATGATGGCTGCAACCAGAAAAATAGCCAGGCATTGTGGTGGGTGCCTGTGGTCCCAGCTACTTGGGAGGTTGAGGCAAGAGACTCGCTTGAGCCCAGGAGTTGGAGGTTGCTGTGAGCTGTGATGCCACGGCGCTCTACCCAGGGGGACAGCTTGAGGCTCTGTCTCAAAAAAAAAAAAAACAAACCAAAAAAGCCAAAAACAAAAACAAAAGCAGTTGGTCTTGGGCCTTTCTTTTTCTTATTTTTATTTATTTATTTATTGCAGGTTTTGGCCAGGGCTGGGTTTGAACTGCCACCTCCGGCATATGGGGCCAGCGCCCTACTCCTTTGAGCTACAGGCATCGCCCTCCCCCCCCATTTTTTTCTTTTGAGACAGTCTCAAGCTGCTGCCCTGGGTAGAGTGCCATAGTGTCATAGCTCACAGCAACCTCAAACTCTTGGGCTCAAGCGATTCTCTTGCCTGAGCCTCCCAAGTAGCTGGGACTACCGCCACAATGCTCAGCTATTTTTAGAGACAAGTCTCGCTCTTGCTCAGGCTGGTCTCAAACCTGTGAGCTCAGGCAATCCATCCACTTCAGCCTCCCAAAGTGCTAGGATTACAGGCATGAGCCACTGTGCCCAGCCTGGTCTTAGGCTCTTAAAGACCCCAACAGTGGCTTCTGCTCTTTCAGGCTGTGTGGCTTTTATCAGGGGCAGTTACCTCTCTGAGCTTTTGTTCCTCTGGAAAATGGAGAGAGGAACATTTTCAACCTCATAGGGCTGTTGGGTAGAGTCAGTTCTGTGTATATACTGCATGCCTGTTTTTTGAGCACCTACTGTGTGTATGTACCAAGCACCATTGTAGACTCTGGAAATGCAACACAGAACGAGCCAAAGCCCTGGCCCTCACGAGGGTTTCAACCTACTGATGGTGACAGAAGCCAACAAAACTGTCAGCTCTTCCCAGGGACAAAAGGACTGTGCAAATGCAGCACAGCAAGATCCCATAGGGACGGTCAGGGAAGGCCAAAGGCCCTGAGGTAGGACAAGTCTGGGATGCTGGAAAGAGAACAAGAAAGCCCTTGAGGGGGATGAGTAAGGAAGAGAACTAGAGCAGAGGTCATCCAGGTAGTGGGCACCTTGTAAACGGGTGCCAAGAACAAGTGCCTGGCCCATCTCAGGGCCTGGCTAGATGGAGGACCCTAACCTGGTGTTGAGTAAGACCTGAGCCACCAACCTCAGACCTGTGTTTGACTTACCACCTTCAGCTGGCGTTCATTTCTGGGCCTCATGGGGGGCAGATCTGGCCGAGGGGGCAGTGGAGGAGCCGAGGGGGTTGTCTGGAGGAGACAATGGATGGAGGAGAGGGTGAGTTGCCATTTTCTTTTCATTTACATGTCCTCCTGCCTGGGTTCCCCCATTTAAGTACTATTTTAGGTTCAAGGTATAATAGCAAATAAGACAAAGTCCTAACCCTTGGGAGGGGTTCAGCTGGAGAAAGCCACAGCCCCAGATACTTGGGGAAGTAAAAGTCCAGGCCTCTAGGAACTGTGAATCTTGTCACCAGTTCCCTCCTCCAACAGCCCTAGAAATTCTGATTCCGGCTCCTGCCCGGCCCTGCTCACCTGCCCTAGCTCCAACTCCTCATCTTCCTGGTCACTGATGAACCCTGCGTCCTCAGCAAGGGCCTGGGCTTCTGCTGGCTTCCCTTGGAATTGGTAGATACTCACGGCCTCTCGGCCCTTGATCTTGCAGCGGCAGAAGGGGCAGGTCTGGCTGTCTGAATGCTGGAGGGAAAGGGTCAGTGACCCCCCATTCTTCAGCATATCCTCTGGGCCTGGAAATACCTCCACCCTCAACAGAGTGATGTGGGGAGAGCAGACAGAGGGAGAGAGGAGGAGTCACAGAGATGGGGGAGGAAGAGAGCCTGAGGCTGGGCGAGCGCCCTGGAGCCAGGACAACAGCTCCTGGTTTGCTGGGACCTTTGTGGGCTCAGATTCTCACTGCAGCCCTTGGGAGGTCACTGTTATCAGCCCCCTTCTCCAGAGGGGGAGGATGAAGCTGAGAGAGGTGAAGCCATTGGCTTGGGATCAGCCAGTGAGGGAAGAAAGGAGTCCTTTCCACTCATAACGTAGCCAGAGAGGAAACACAGAGGTAACACAGGGACAGACAGGCACTGGGCTCCTGAGTGATCCTGAGCAGGTCTCTGCTCTCTGCCAGCCTCAGTTTCCCCATTTTGTCAAGGAGGCAGATGGGAGGTAGGTCCTCTTGGGGTTTTACTGTAGAGAGGAGCGGACCAGACAAGAAGGTGGGACAGGGTTCCGACCCACCTGCCAGGCAGCCAGGCAGTGGCTACAGAGCAGGTGGCCACACGGCTCGATGCGCACATCCTTGCTGTTCTCCGCACAGATCTTACAGAGCTCAAATGTGGAGTCCATGGCCCAGTAGAGCTGCAGCTGCTCCTGGCAGGTGAGAAGATGAGGAAGACAGGAAGTAGGGGTGTCAGCCACTGGGATACAACTCATGCCATAGGAAGAAGGTCCCAAGCCTCTGCACCAGCCCTGAAGCCTCTCTGAAGTTCAAGGCCAGCGTGTCTATCTGCCTCTGACACGTCGTTACTCCTTGTTCTCTGGAGTTATCTACACTCAGGGTTGGCAGATTTAGTAAATAAAAATATTGGGTGCCGTTAAATTTGAATTTCAGATAAATGGTGGATAAAATTTTAAGTATAAGTATGTCCTAAATGTTGCATAGGATATACTTATACTAAAAAAAAATGTTTATTGTCTCTCTCTCTCTCCCCCAGGAGGTGGCTGGGAAGGTTAGAGCTGGCACAGGGGCTGTCACTGGCGAATGCCCAAGTACATTAGTTGTTCTGATGATCTCAGCACTTCATTTCTTTGTTTATTTCCCATGATAACCCCTGGGAAAGAGCAGGAGGAGCCATATTTTCCAGGATTAACTGAACCTCAGAGAAGCCAAGTACTTTACTCAGGGTCACACAGCCACCAGGCCAGCACTTCAGCCCATGGTCTCTGAGCCAAGGTTAGGTGGGGCTTTTGGGGGCAGTGGGAGGGACTGGGGTACAGGACTGGGTCTCACCTCGGATACGTGGATGCGCTGATGTGGTTCTACTTTGCAGAGCTCGGTCAGGTCTGGGTTGTGGTTCTTTCCATCCGGGTAGAGGTAGCTGGGGGAAGGTGAGAGAGGAGCATGAGGGGCCACTCTGTGTATTCCACCTCTAGACAAACATGGACACAGTGCCTCAAATCCATTACTGTCCTGGGAATATTTTCTCTCCTCCTTCCTCAAATTGGGATACTGCCACCCCCCAACCCCCAGTCAGGTCATAGTTATGTCTCCTCAGACTTAGCCAGATTCAAAGGTGGGGCATGCTAAACCCATGTGACTCAAAGTCTGGACACAAGGATCCGATTAAATGAGAACCAGGAAACTGATCAAAATCTCAGGGTTAGCCCTCTGAGAACTTCTCCCTTCATCTTCGGGTATAAGCATAACAGATTTTAGAGTCACACATTGTTGGGGTGACCAAATACTAGGGCCTTAGAATATTAGGACTAGAAGGACCCTCTGAGGCCATCTGCAATTCTTCCTGTCTCTTCAGACAGTGACCTGAGGCTCCATGAGAGAAAGGCGACTGCCCCAGGGCATGAAGCTGAGGTCCAGAGACACATAGCACCAGGGCCAGAGACAGGATCTCAGAACTGGGCTCCAGGGAAGCTGAGAAGAAGGTTCTGAGGCTGAGTCCAGTGGCTCTGTAATTCTAGCTCTTTGGGAGGCTGAGGTGGGTGGATTGCCTGAGCTCAGGAGTTCAAGACAAGTCTGAGCAAAAGTGAGACTCTATCCCTATTACAAATACAAACGTTAGCTGGTTATTGTGGTGTGTGCCTGTAGTCCTAGCTACTCGGGAGGGTGAGGTAAGAGGGTCACTTGAGTCCAAGAGTTTGAGGTTGCTGTGAGGTATAACACCACTGCACTCAACCCTAGGGTGACAGAGTGAGACTCAGTCTCAGACAAAAAACCAAACAGGCTCATTGCCCATAGCTCAGTGGCTAGGGTGCCAGCCACATACACCAAGACTGGTGGGTTCAAACCTGGCCCGGGCCTGCTAAACAATGACATCTACAACAAAAAAATAGCTGGGCATTGTGGCAGGTACCTGTAGTCCTAGCTACTTGGGAGGCTGAGGCAAGAGAATCTCTTAAGCCAGTGGTTCTCAACTTTCCTAATACCATGGCCCTTTAATACAGTATCTGTGGGTTGTGACGCACAAGTTGAGAACCGCTGTCTTAAGCCCAAGAGCTTGAGGTAGCTGTGAATTGTGATGCCAAAGCACTCTACTCAGGGGGACATAGTGAGACTCTGTCTTGAAAAAAAAAAAAAAAAAGAATAAAAAAACCAAAACCAAAACAAACAAATCCAGGCTGGTCAGCTCAGTAGCTTTGTGATCTGGGCAAGTGGCTTTGCTTCTGTGTGCCTCAGTTTCCTTGGCTATCAAACAGGAACATAATAATAGTGTGTATGTGTCTATACAATATATTAGTATTCAAAGACTCCATATTTGTAAACTCTCCCACTGACTAAAATTTATTTGGAACTCCCAAATCAGTATTCCCAGTGCTTTTGCCATCACTCTGGGACTTGGACAGGTGGTGAAACACTTGAGTTCTCAGCTTAGCTTGAGGTGACACTTGGACTTCTCCTTCACGCTCTCATACCATAAACAAGTGTCCTTTTTGCAGCTCATCCCCCCTGTTTTATGTTTATTGTTGATGTCACTGTTTTATTTATTTATTTTTGAGACAGAGTCTCACTTTGTTGCCCTTGGTAGAGTGGTGTGGTGTCACAGCTCACAGCAACACCAAACGCTTGGGCTCAAGTCATTTTCTTGTCTCAGCCTCCCGGTAGCCCGGACACAACGCCGGGCTATTTTTAGAGATGAGGTCTCGCCCTGGCTCTGGCTGGTCTTGAACCTGTTAGCTCAGTCAATTTACCCACCTCTGCCTTCCAGAGTGCACCAGCGTGAGCCACGGTGCCTGGCCGACGTCTTTGTTTTAAATGGCACCCCAAAGCGGTCCTGAGGTGCTATCTTTGTTTCTAAATAAGAGAAGGCTGCTGATGTATGTGTGGAAAATATGTTAAATAAGCTTCATTCAGGTGCAATTTTTAGTGCTGTTGGTTGTGATTTCAATGTTAACGAATCAAGAATAAACATTAAAGTGTTTTTAAACAAAAACAAACGTAAATGTTATTCTCAGAACTTTCCCCGGCATGGGAGCTTCCCCTGCATGAACCCCAAAGAGGCACCCCCTTCCTCTTGACTGCCACCTGCTGGTATCTTGTAGTATTGCAATGACTAACATCAGCTCTGTGACTTTGGTATCCTCAAACGTGGTGCTTTGGGCAATGCTCAACAGACATTATCTTTTCAAGTAGATTTTGCTGGTACCCTCCTCCCGGCAGGATGGGGACTCACAGGCCATCCTTTTGTCCTTCCAGGAGTGCCCGGTATAAGGGTCTGTTGAGAGGGATGGTCTGCAGGATGCTGCCGTCTGAGCTCACGTAACCGATGGCCCACTGTCCCAGTCGAGTACAGCTGGGCCGGAAGATGTAGCTGGAGGGAGAGGGAGGTCGGATGGGGTCACAACTGTTTTTCTGAGAACTCCCAGTCCCCCACCCTATTTGGGATCCAGTTGTCAAAGTCCTCACCCTCAGCTTCCCACCCTTTAGGTAATGAGGTGCTAGTTTCCTGTCTGCCAGTACAGGATACATGTTTTCACTTGCTTAGCTCCTCTTATGATAACACCTGTTTCCATTTGCAGCGCTCCCCCTCCTTCACTAGGGTTTAAACAAGGCTGATCCTGGCCTGGCCAATCAGTGCATTTCAGGCCCCCTGACCACTGCGACTGGAGTCAGTTCAGGACAAGGTATTCCACTTCTATAGAAGTTACTAAGCTGGCAGGGTGCACAGCTGAGACTTCTAAAAGCTATTTGCAGAGACCATGTCCAAGAATGAAGCTAACACAGAGGAAAGCAGAGACAGGGATGAATAGGAATTGAGTCCTGACGATAGCATATGAGGACTTGGATCCAGCCATGCCTGAAACCCACATCCTGGTCTTTTCAACTATAGGAATTAACTTATTCCTCCCTGTATCCCTGTAAACCACTTTGAAGTATAACTGGAATAGGGCTAATATGCATATACCCACCTTCCCGGGGGTTCTGCACTCAGCCCTGCAGAAATTCACAAACCTGACCTCCTATTCCCTTAATTTCTTGATGTTCTAGCTCATCTCCTCAATTCTTAGCACTTTGGGGTGACTCAACGGTGCTAGTCTGGCTTGAAATAATCTGGCTTGAAATAATCTCAGGATTCTGGCTTGAAATAATCTCAGGATTCAGATGTCACGTTTTCCAGTCTCCTATGATAAGAGGTGGGG